AATGATGCAAATAAACAATAAAATAAAATAATTAATAAAAACTAAATCATAAAAAATTATTCAAACATAAATTCCAATTGATATAAACTAGATTAGTCAAATTTTAAAAAAATAAAGATAAGGATTGTGCCCAAGAACTCAATGATTAAGAAGTACCAAAAACAACCCTCATAACAATATTCAGGCGTCTCCCAGGTGGACATCCTAGTACTGCTCTTAATTTATCTGGATGCTCAAGCAGATATAAATAAACAAAGGTAATTTGATCTGAGTTAAGTCCTAAATCCTCCAACATATTCCAAACTTCAGCCTTTGAAAGTGGAGGACGTGAATTCCCTTCAGATAGAGCTCGAGCTACATTGTAGATAGCTTCTTGAATGCCCATTGCTTCATTTTCAATTTCTAGTGATTTCTTTATTTGTTTGGATTTTGAGCTAGTTGGCACATTTGAAGGACGTCCAAGACATGTCAAAGGATCAAAATCAACATCATTAGTACCAAAACCATCCAAAGATACCTGATTATGTGACATCATATGATCAATTTCCTCAATGGTATTAAGAGACTCATTATCATGTTGGGATGATTGCTTTTTCTTTAATTCTTTTGCAGTTTTTGACTTTTCACCTATAGCTCAATTATTTCCAAGTAGTATTACAAATGTGTCATAGTGCAACATTGGTTTTGTCATCCACTCTTTAGCATCCTTATTAACCTACAAAACATCAACATTTTTAAATCTAAATAATTAATTTAGGTCAAGAAAAATATTAGTAAAGGAATTTAAATTAAAATTGTACCTTTATTAATACATCCCAAACTTCAAGTTTGACATTCCATAACTTGGTAACAGGGCTCCATGAAAAACCACTAAGGTTTTTGAATAAATCATGAGATTTTGAGAGGTTTGCCTTCAATTTTTTGATGCGATTTTTAACCTTATCTTTGTCAATATCCTTCCCAAGTTTTTCTTTCAATTCATTAACAATATTTTCATATGCTTTGGTGGTGAAGGAACCATTTACCATATTGCCCAAATTATGTTGATGTAGGAAAGCATCCATAAGAGCCTCATCCATTATAGGTGTCCATACTAATTTGCCTTCTTCACTTGCATTTTCAATATTACTATTTTTTTTCTTCCCACCCATACCTAAATAAAAGAAGTTATTAGATAACTTTATTAAGTAAAAATTTATTATAAA